AGTTTTTCTATAGAAACAATAATGACATTTCTAAACATTTATTCTCAGTTTTATTGTTTATGTAAAGATCTGCTAACGATCGATCAATATTCCTATCAAAACATTTTCATGTTATTTAGCTTTAAAACCTGGAGATAAATTTTCCATTAATATTTTTATATAAATTAATATTTTATAAATGTCTCATTAATAAGAGAACATTGTTAATATATTCAGAAAGAACCAGTCGCTATAAATGTTTTATTTTTGTTTTCAGAACCAGAACCAGAACCAGACGTGGTTTACTCTCCAGTCAGAACAACTGATGGACGATAATGGATCAATATGTCTATCAGTTATTTTTATAAGAGAGGAATATTAATGTATTATTATTAAATCATATTGTAACTTTATAATTGAACATGATGCATAAACAAACAGAGACAAAAATAATTTCCAGTTGATTTAATGTTTTATTTTCTTGTGGTTCATAAAAAGATTGAGTTTCTGTTTCCCTCATCAGTGTCATTATTACTGATATTTATGTGTAAAATCATGATATTTGGTTTGTGGATAAATAAAGTTTGTTCCAGTCGATGTTCTGAGGTTCTGATTTTCCGATCTGGTCGACCACCAAGAAAAACAAGAACAAACAAACCGCTGCAGAATAAAGCAGCTTCAGAGGAGACAGGAAACAGGAAGTGAATGTTTGAAAGGTTTAAACTTTAATCTGATGAGGAAACCAGTGAAGATTATTTTATAAAATGTCTCAAATTAAATCTGTTGGTTCCTGATTTTCTTTCTGAGCTGCTGAGTTTTAAACTCCAGGTCATTGAGTCAGGGTCAGGGTTCGGGTCAGGGTTAGGGTCAGGGTCAGGGTCAGGGTCAGGGTCAGGGTTAGGGTCAGGGTCAGGGAATCCAGGTCATTGAATTAATACTGGAAAAGGTGAAACTCAAACTGAATCCAGATGTGAAACCGAATCAATGAGAACAAAGAGTCAGAACTCAACAGGAAGGGAATCAGAATCAGAACCGGTTCTACAGAACCAGAACCAGAACCAGCAGAATTTCCCTCTGAAACTAAAACTCTGATGTTTTTCTGACACCTAGAGGACAGAAAACACATTACAGCAGCTCAGACTGTAGCCATGACATTTTATGATCGTGTTACCTTAATGACAAATTAATGATTGATTGAAAACCAATCATTCAATCGATCAACTTTATTCATGTCATATATTTCAGCAACAGGGAAAATCAAAGTGATTTACATCATAAAAATAGAAATAAAGTTATAAAATAACAGCAGATATTCACTTTATCTATTAATTATATGGATTTTGCTTCATTGATGCATCACAGACTGATGAAATATTAATGAATGAAATATTAATAAACATTTATCCTGAATATGAGATAAAACTTGAATCCTAAACTTTGAGTCCAAATCAAATCTGAAGTTTTTGTTGCTGCAACTGAAGAGTGAATAAAAGCAACATAAGCAGCAAAATAAACTTTAACTAAAGATCTGCAAACAGCAGATGATGCAGAAATCAGAGCAGAATATTAAACACTGAACAGATTATTAGAATAATTACAGGAAATAAAAACTGAATCACCAGGAAACAGGAGAAACTCTGGAGACAGAAGGACAACTGAGGACCCCTAGTGGTAGAAACACCGCATAGACCGGGTCAGAGGTCAGACCGGGTCAGGGGTCAGACTGGACCGGACCGGACTGGACCGGGTCAGAACGGATTCGGTAGATTCAGTCATCAGGTCAAATTCTGCACTGAATGTTGTAACAAAACCTGGAAACTGAACAAAATGGATGGTTTATTCATAAATAAAACTATGATGGTGGTTTTATTTATAAAATCTGAAACATCTTCAGGAAAAAGGACAAAAATAAATAAATAAATAAATGAAGAGATTCAGGTCTTTGTATTCTTCACCTTTTGCTCATCATCAGCATAAACTTGCAGGGGTATGAATAATTATGACCTTATATTTGATCCAGCTTTTGTTTTCATAATAAACTGATAATTATTACAAGATTCTGTGAACTGCTGTTAGAACTAACTTTTAATCTGTTTTCATAAAATGTATTAAAGTCAATATGAACATGATAATAACGCAGCTCTCCGGTAATATCAATGATCCCCAGCAGGGGGCAGCATCTGGTTCACGGCAGAATGGGAAAGAATAGGGAATATTGGAAATTAAATTATAAAAATATAAACATCCAATAAATAATCCAGAATTATTTCACCAGTTAATGCAACCTAAAAAACGCAATTATATTTTCATATGTTTATTTTTCCTTTCATGTTATCCTGATTTCTTCTCTTATCATCTAGAAGTGTTTGGATTTCTGCAGATCCAGAGTCTTCAGTTTATATAGTTTATATAATTAATTATGTTTGTAGTTAAACATTAATTAATTTTCTTCCTCTAAACAGTTTGATTAGACAGTGTGATTGTAATGTCAGTGATGTGCCACCAGGTGGCGCGTTAGGAAGCAGAACCTGATCATTTTCTGTGTTCAGGAGAGAAATATGTCTTATAGATCTGTTGTTTCTGTTGTGTTTAATAAAAAAAATGTTTTATTATTTTTCCAGAATCTGTCTGCAGTTTCTCTTCTGTTGCGTCATCAGAGAAACTGCCATGTCTCCATGGCAACTGGCTCATTTCAGGTGAGCCGCACCTGTCCTGATCCTCCAGCTGAAAACCCAAAGCAGCATGAAGAGACACTACTGCGCCCCCTGGTGGTTAACAGGAGCAGCAGCAACCAAACTGCTGCTGATTGATCCGTTTATTGATCCTTTTCCAGCCGATGATTAGAATAGAAACACTTTGAGTTTCTTTATTTCAGGTAAACAGAAAAAAAAATAATAATAATAATGATGATGATGATAACCCAGATCAGTGCAGCAGGTTATGAAAGATAAATACATTTATAATCCAGAGATGCACTGCAGAATGAAGCAGATTAAGATGTTTGACTCAAATCCATCCACAGGTGATTCAGTAGTTTAACAGGTAAAAGTGGGCGGGGCCTCAGCTGAAGGTTTCATGCAGAAACAGGAAATGGACCAAACTGAGGAGTTAGCTTAGCAGAGCTAATATCTGCTGCTAACAGAACCAAATCATTATTTATTTAAATTTTAAAAACCAAAACAGAGAAAAGAATCTGTTCTGACCCGATTCGATCAATAGATCATTTTCTCCTCACATGTTTTGCTTTATAAGTTGTTATTCTGGACAGTTGATGGTTATTTTTTATTTCTTATATTATATATTCATTAAACTCAGTAAAACGACCTTAATGAAAAGTTTCTGGTTCTGTTGATTCCTTAGAGGAGACCAACCTGAGGGACAGTGGGACGTCCCTCTGAGTGGGACGTCCCTCTGTGGCATCAGCAGAGTGAGAGAGAAGCCCTCCGGAGGTCAAAGGTCAGTCTGCGTCTCTCTCTGTCCTTCCTCCTGACTGTCCTCTGTCTCCTCAGCAACCAGAAGACATCAATCCTCTGATCAGTTTATTGATGTTTATAGATCAGCTTATTGATCTGATTATTGATTCAGACTGAAGCTGGTTCCAGTCTCAGTTGGGATGTTTCTGTTTTCATTAATAATATAAACATCTTAATATTTACATGTTTATTCAGCAGGAAGCAGCTGATTGTCTACTTCCTGTTTTAAATAAAGTTTTCATCAGGACATGTTTTCACTCCTCTGTTCCTTGGAGGAGGTCAGAGGTCAGCAGTGAGTCACCTGCTCATCATCATGTTGGTTTAATAACTTATTGATGAGATTCAGAGCAAAGAAGGAGAAATGAAAAGATTATTTTCTGAAAGGTTTTATTAATAAATCTGCTGAATCAACATGGAAGAATTTATTAAATATGATCAGATTTTTAATAAATATTTAATAAATAATGTTCAGGCTGGACTCATTTTACAGAACAGATTTAAAAACATGAAACATTTTGTTTCATATGTCAAATGTTGTGAAATTGGGATTTTTTTTCCTCTTTTGCTCATAAAAATCTTTCAAAAATAAATATTTAATCTATTTGGATCCTTCAGGTGAAATATGGTTTCTGAGCAGATCTTGCTAACAGCACCATTTGTTTCAGGGGAAATGTTGATATTATTTAATCATTAAATAATCAGAATTCTTCTGTCTGAAGGTTTAGTGGAAGGAAAAACTCCCAAACATCAAAATACAACAAAGACACTGAAAACAACAAATCAAAACCAGAACAAAATCTCCAACACAAGCAGAAACAGGAACAAAGTTCATCACTAATGAAAATAAAACATTAAACCACGATGGAAACATTCATTAAAATGTTAAATCAGTTGTTTCCAGTATTTGTTCTCCTCCAGGTGTTGATGTGATTCACATAAATCCCTTTTTTAGTTCCATTTACTGAAGTTTGGACAATAGAAAATAAAAACACCTCTGATGGTTTTGATTGGCCACAGGAAGTGATGTGATGCTGATGGCCACCAGGTGGCGCCACCATCAACATTCATTCACCTGTTGATGAGGCTTTGATTTGAACTTTGGAGTTTTGTGATCATATAAACAGAAACATTGGTTTTTATTTCATCTTCAGGTTTAAACTGCATCAAGAAACAACCAGGAAGTTAAAGACGTGGTTAAGCCACGCCCCTTTCTCCCCCACACCCTGCAGAACAAAACAATATGTATATATCTAGTACATATATATGTATGTAAGTATACTGTGTATAACTGAGTGTGAACATTTCACTCAGTGAAATGATGAAAACTCATCTTGTATAAATATCATTCATCTAATGAAGAAAAACTGAACAAAGAACAAAGAACATCAATAGGAAATGGGAAACTCTCAGGGTTAAAGCTTCACTTGTCCTCCGTCCCGCTGTCCGTCCCGCTGTCCGTCCTGCTGTCTGCTGTCCCGTCCCGCTGTCTGCTGTCCGTCCTGCTGTCTGCTGTCCGTCCTGCTGTCCGTCCGCTGTCTGCTGTCCGTCCCGCTGTCCCGCTGTCAGCTCAGACGTTCCTGCTCTTCCTCCTCTTCCTGCTCTTCCTCCTCTCGTCTCTGCCTCCGTTTCGGTCCGCGGCGTTTTGCAGCCATTTGGTGATTCTGGCCTCGATCTCTCTGTCGGTTGCTGTGGCAGTGAGCCGATTGCGCCTCACAGCCACTGAGACAAAAGAAAAGACATGAATGAATTAAACGTTCTGACACCACGGACCCAGTGGTGTCAGAACTGAGTCTGTGTTTTGTGTTTGGAAACGTCACATTGACATTTCTAGACTTGAGTCATTGTTAGATAATCTTCTACAGGTTTCACAGTTTGGTTGATTGTGTTTAAATCCAGATGTTTTTCTTCTTCTACATCATGAAGAACCTGATGAATGCTGGTTCTTATCACTTGGTTCTGGGGATGCAGAACAGAACCAGAACCAGAACCAGAACCAGCTGTTGTCATGAATGACCCTGCCTCCAGGGGGCGCCCTTCTAGAGTAAGAATGTGATAATAAATCAATCTGAAAACCAGAAAAATAGACGTGAAAATGAGACCATATATAAATATTATATAAATATTTATATCAAAAATAGATTAAAATCTGGATTATCTTCACATTAAAGCTGTGAAGACTGCAGTGTTTACTGTCTACTGCAGCAGAGCTTTGTGTTCTTATCTATATAAAAATATCCTACAGTGTTTCCATCCCAGTATTGTATAGTTATTATTTTATATATTAAGGAGATCTTAGAGTGGAAGCTGACATGATGCTCATGGATGCAAATGTCATGAAATCATTAAATAATCATGTTTAACAATAAATGTTAAATATGAAAACTGAAACCTACAAGTTACTGAAAATATTTGGCCTTTACATTTTATTGACGAATCAGAGACAGAAACAGATGTTGACAGGAAATGTTCCTTCATCACAACGTCCAGAAATTAATCAAATCATCGCCTTCGCTTGTAAACTGCAGCAACCAGACATGTGACCTCTGAACCCCAGAGCCAGGAGCTCTGAGCACAGAGACACAGCCACGGTTTATACAGTTTATAAGGTTTATGACAGTAACTCCTGGCTGCAGCAGTGCATTCTGGGAAACATTTCTACACTGTAAAACCTGAACCTCCACTGAATTGAACCAAAGCTGCAGAGATGAAGCCCTTAAAGCTGTGAACTTACTGGTCACCAGTTTCTTCATGTGGAGACGCTGGAAGCCGATCTTCCCGTTCACGCCGCGCCAGTTCATCTGCTGGCTGAGCGAGTGTGTGTGAGCAGCGCTGCCATGATCCTGCCCACACACTCGTTCAGTGATCCTCCTCCCTGCAGAGCCAGAGCCGCGCTCTGCAAGCACAACAACAAATAATCGACCCGTTCAATCCATCAGGAGCCGTTATTGATCTAACGGTCTTGGACTGGGATACAAACAGAACCGAACTTTGGCTCAGATCTGACTGCATGTACTGCAGCTGCTCTTCAGATCCACATCCAGACTCTTTCCTGCACTCAATCAGCATTTCATATTTCTACTGAACATTGTTGAAATAAAATGATGAATGTTAGTCATTATAAATGCAAACAGCATTTAGTGACCTGAGCACTAAATGCTCTAAATGCTCAGGTCACTCAGCATTTAGTGACCTTTACTCAGTTTTTTATGTGAGTAAAACTGAAAGCTTTTCCAAATAAGTGCAGGATGTTAGTTGCTGCTTATTCTGATGTTATTTAGTATTTTCCATATTGTGTTGTTTGTGCTGCAGTGCAGTGATGCTGCAGCTCCTGCAGCTGATAATCTGACAGGTGATGCTGTAGGAAAACATGAACCTGGATTAAAACATGAATATGGATCATAAGCTACATGCAGGTCAACAGGAAAACATTTTGCTGTCTTTGTTCATTCTCACCAGCTGATTGTGAAGCTCTGGGTTGTCATGAAGTTGAGCCTCCATGTCTTCAACAGACTGTTGGCTGTTCAGAGGAAACGATTTCAGCAGCAACTCGTCTCCAGATGGAGTCTGCAGGCCTTGGATTGATTTGTAAATTATTTTAATCTGATCCATCAGAACTTCCTGGTTCATTAGAATACTTTTGAGGAGTGCTGAAATAAAAAGGTTTTATTAATGAGCATTTTAACCACATTATGATTCTAAAACATGACTGGAGCACAAGACTTACAAAGATGAAAACAGGAACCATGATGATGGCTCCCTGGAGCAGGAGGAGAGGCGTGGTGGCTCAGTGGTGCTGCAGCAGAGCTGCAGTCTCTCAGTGGTGCTGCAGCAGAGCTGCAGTCTCTCAGTGGTGATGCAGCAGAGCTGCAGTGGTTGAGATTTACAGGATTAGAAATTCTTGGTGTTGGTGTTAAAGCACCATATGTGCTTGTAAAGTTATAACTTCATGCATTAATACAAATCCATTAGTTTCTCATTCTGATTTAAAAGAGAATAAATTAGAAACAACTTTTATAAAATTTGGCTGCAACAGAAACCAGAAATAAAAGTTCAGCCATTATTCCTGGATCAACATTTTAAACTGTTAATGAGAAAACAACCAGCATCAGTTATAAACTAACTGGGTTACAGCAGAACTCTGGACTGCAACAGAACCAAATCAGAACCAAATCAGAACCAAATCAGAACCAGATCAGAACCATATGAGAACTAAATCAGAACCAAATCAGAACAGATCAAAACCAGATCAGAACAGATCAGAACCAAATCAGAACCAAATCAGAACCAGATCAGAACAGATCAGAACCATATGAGAACTAAATCAGAACCAAATCAGATCCAAACTGCAGACTCTCTGAACAGCCAGACATCTTCACCAGGAAGAGAATGTTGCTTCTATTCAATAATGTTTAAGAAAATAAAATCAATCAAAACATCAGTGATATTAGTGAGATACCAAAAACATGTCAAAATAAACTCACATTCTTCTTCTCTTCGGTTTGATTGGAGAATCATCATCAGAAACAGGATCACTGCTTTTCCTCCGTTTCTCCTGGTCGTCATCTACAGATAATTCAAAGATTTATAACCATTTAAAACCATTGAAGGTTTAAAGCTTCAGCTCTTAGAGCGCCCTCCCTCCCCCACTCTGCTCCTTCAGACTAGCCAGCAGCAATTAGCTGGTGGAACTGCTGAGCTCAGCATAATGCAGGTAAAAGCATTTTAAAAGGAGCAATATTAAGTTTTTTCCTGGCACATAAAGCTAATTTTTTATACTATAGTCATCTATGTTACCTTCAGTTGTTATTAAAATGCTAAAAGAAGTTTGAGTTCACAAAGTAAGGCCTTTGTCCCTTTAAGAAGCTCCTGCTCTTTTCTCTATTAAATCATTAATAGAGAAAAGAGTCTGCTGCACTGAGAGTAGCTCCTATAATCTCAGCAGATGTGCAGTTCTGCCACTTGTTAATTGCTGCTGCCGCTAGTCTGGAGGAACTGGGTGAAGGGCTTAGCGGCTGCAGCACAGAGGAGGAGCTTTGTGGCAACAGGAGGGAGCGAGGCGTTCCTAAGAGTCAATAACAGGCAGGAATGAATCTAGAAAAGTCTCCAGATGTGTTTTCTGATGAGGAAATAACATAATATAAACCCTCTGATGATTAACCATTATAGACTCAGATCACTGCACCGTTTATTGTTAAATCAAGTTGAACGTCAACAAATGTTTGGAACAAAATGTTTTAAATGGGTGATGTGTGTTGATGTGTGTTGATGTGTGTTGGTGTGTGTTGGTGTGTGTTGATGTGTGTTGATGTGTGTTGATTGTGTTGATGTGTGTTGAGGTGTTGATGTGTGTTGATGTGTGTTGGTGTGTGTTGGTGTGTGTTGATGTGTGTTGATGTGTGTTGGTGTGTGTTGATGTGTGTTGATGTGTGTTGATGTGTGTCGGTGTGTGTTGATGTGTGTTGGTGTGTGTTGATGTGTGTCGATGTGTGTCGATGTGTGTCGAGGTGTGTCGATGTGTGTTGATGTGTGTTAGTGTGTGTTGGTGTGTGTTGGTGGTGTGATGTGTGTTGATGTGTGTTGATGTGTGTTGGTGTGTGGTGATGTGTGGTGATGTGTGTTGATGTGTGTTGATGTGTGTTGATGTGTGTTGATGTGTGTTGATGTGTGGTGATGTGTGTTGGTGTGTTGATGTGTGTTGATGTGTGTTAGTGTGTGTTGGTGTGTGTTGGTGTGTGGTGATGTGTGTTGATGTGTGTTGATGTGTGTTGATGTGTGGTGGTGTGTGGTGATGTGTGTGTTGATGTGTGTTGATGTGTGTTGATGTGTGTTGATGTGTGTCGAGGTGTGTTGATGTGTTGATGTGTGTTGATGTGTGTCGATGTGTGTTGATGTGTGTTGATGTGTGTCGATGTGTGTTGATGTGTGTTGATGTGTGTTGATGTGTTAGTGTGTGTTGGTGTGTGTTGGTGTGTGTTGATGTGTGTTGATGTGTGTTGATGTGTGTTGATGTGTGGTGATGTGTGGTGATGTGTGTTGATGTGTGTTGGTGTGTGTTGATGTGTGTCGATGTGTGTTGATGTGTGTCGATGTGTGTTGATGTGTGGTGATGTGTGTTGGTGTGTGTTGATGTGTGTTGATGTGTGTTGATGTGTGTTGAGGTGTGTTGATGTGTGGAGGTGTGTTGATGTGTGTTGGTGTGTGTCGAGGTGTGTTGATGTGTGTTGATGTGTTGATGTGTGTTGGTGTGTGTTGATGTGTGTTGGTGTGTGTTGATGTGTGTCTATGTGTGTTGGTGTGTGTTGATGTGTGTTGATGTGTGTTGGTGTGTGTTGATGTGTGTCTGTGTGTTGATGTGTTGATGTTGATGTGTGTTGATGTGTGTTGATGTGTGTTGATGTGTGTTGATGTGTGTCGATGTGTGTTGATGTGTGTTGAGGTGTGTTGATGTGTGTTGATGTGTGTTGGTGTGTGATGTGTGTTGATGTGTGTTGGTGTGTTGATGTGTGTCTATGTGTGTTGTGTGTGTGATGTGTCGAGGTGTCGATGTGTGTCGATGTGTGTTGATGTGTGTTGTGTGTGTGTGTCGATGTGTGTCGATGTGTGTTGATGTGTGTTGATGTGTGTTGATGTGTGTTGATGTTTGATGTGTGTTGATGTGTGTTGAGGTGTGTTGGTGTGTGTTGATGTGTGTTGATGTGTGTCGATGTGTGTCGATGTGTGTCGTTGTGTGTCGATGTGTGTAGATGTGTGTCGATGTGTGTCGATGTGTGTCGATGTGTGTGATGTGTGTTGATGTGTGTTGATGTGTTGATGTGTGTTGAGGTGTGTTGTGTGTGTTGATGTGTGTTGATTGTTGATGTGTGTTGATGTGTGTTGATGGTGTCGAGGTGTGTTGATGTGTGTGATGTGTGTTGATGTGTGTTGATGTTGTTGATGTGTGTTGAGGTGTGTTGTGTGTTGATGTGTGTTGATGTGTGTTGATGTGTGTTGATGTGTGTTGATGTGTGTGTCGATGTGTGTTGGTGTGTGTTGATGTGTGTTGATGTGTGTGTGTGTGTTGATGTGTGTTGGTGTGTGTTGATGTGTGTTGATGTGTGTGATGTGTTGGTGTGTGTTTATGTGTGTTGATGTGTGTTGGGTGTGTTGGTGTGTGTTGATGTGTGTCGATGTGTGTTGATGTGTGTTGATGTGTGTTGGTGTGTTGATGTGTGTTGATGTGTGTTGATGTGTGTTGATGTGTGTTGATGTGTGTCGATGTTGATGTGTGTTGATGTGTGTTGATGTGTGTTGATGTGTGTTGGTGTGTGTTGATGTGTGTTGATGTGTGTCGATGTGTGTTGATGTGTGTTGATGTGTGTTGATGTGTGTTGATGTGTGTTGGTTGTGTTGGTGTGTGTTGATGTGTGTTGATGTGTGTTGATGTGTGTTGGTGTGTTGATGTGTGTTGATGTGTGTTGATGTGTGTTGATGTGTGTGTGTTGATGTGTGTTGATGTGTGTTGATGTGTGTCTATGTGTGTCGATGTTGATGTGTGATGTGTGTTGTGTGTGTGTTGATGTGTGTTGATGTGTGTTGGTGTGTGTTGATGTGTGTTGGTGTGTGTCGATGTGTGTTGATGTGTGTTGATGTGTGTGTTGTTGATGTTGATGTGTGTTGATGTGTGTTGATGTGTGTTGGTGTGTGTTGATGTGTTGATGTGTGTTGATGTGTGTTGATGTGTGTTGGTGTGTGTTGATGTGTGTTGATGTGTGTTGTGTGTGTTGATGTGTGTTGATGTGTGTGATGTGTGTTGATGTGTGTTGATGTGTGTTGGTGTGTGTCGATGTGTGTTGGTGTGTGTCGATGTGTGTTGGTGTGTGTTGATGTGTTGATGTGTGTTGGTGTGTTGATGTGTGTTGGTGTGTGTCGATGTGTGTTGATGTGTGTTGATGTGTTGATGTGTGTTGATGTGTGTTGATGTGTGTTGATGTGTGTTGATGTGTGTTGATGTGTCGATGTGTGTCGATGTGTGTTGGTGTGTGTTGATTGTGTTGATGTGTGTTGATGTGTGTTGATGTGGTTTGTGTGTTGATGTGTGTTGATGTGTGTTGATGTGTGTTGATGTGTGTTGGTGTGTGTCGATGTGTGTTGATGTGTGTTGATGTGTGTTGATGTGTGTTGATGTGTGTTGAGGTGTGTTGGTGTGTGTTGATGTGTGTTGATGTGTGTTGATGTGTGTTGATGTGTGTTGATGTGTGTTGATGTGTGTTGGTGTGTGTTGATGTGTGTTGATGTGTTGGTGTGTGTTGATGTGTGTTGGTGTGTGTTGATGTGTGTTGATGTGTGTTGATGTGTGTTGGTGTGTGTCTATGTGTGTTGAGTTGATGTGTGTCGATGTGTGTTGGTGTGTGTGATGTGTGTTGATGTGTGTTGGTGTGTGTTGATGTGTGTTGGTGTGTGTCGATGTGTGTTGATGTGTGTCGAGGTGTGTTGATGTGTGTTGATGTGTGTTGATGTGTGTTGATGTGTGTTTGATGTGTGTTGATGTGTGTTGATGTGTGTTGATGTGTGTTGATGTGTGTTGATGTGTGTTGAGTGTGTTGTGTGTGTGTTGGTGTGTGTTGATGTGTGTTGGTGTGTGTTGGTGTGTGTTGGTGTGTGTTGATGTGTGTTGGTGTGTGTTGATGTGTGTTGGTGTGTGTTGTGTGTGTTGGTGTGTTGATGTGTGTTGGTGTGTGTTGTGTGTGTTGGTGTGTGTTGATGTGTTGATGTGTTGTGTGTGTTGATGTGTGATGTGTGTTGGTGTGTGTTGATGTGTGTTGGTGTGTGTTGATGTGTGTTGGTGTGTGTTGATGTGTGTTGATGTGTGTTGGTGTGTGTTGATGTGTGTTGATGTGTTGATGTGTGTCGATGTGTGTTGATGTGTGTTGATGTGTGTTGATGTGTGTTGGTGTGTGTTGATGTGTGTTGATGTGTGTGATGTGTGTTGTGTGTTGATGTGTGTTGGTGTGTGTTGATGTGTGTTGATGTGTGTCGATGTGTGTTGATGTGTAGATGTGTGTTGATGTGTGTTGATGTGTGTTGATGTGTGTTGGTGTGTTGATGTGTGTTGATGTGTGTTGGTGTGTGTTGATGTGTGTTGGTGTGTGTCGATGTGTGTTGATGTGTGTTGATGTGTGTTGATGTGTGTTGATGTGTGTTGATGTGTGTTGATGTGTGTTGGTGTGTGTTGATGTGTGTTGAGTGTGTTGGTGTGTGTTGATGTGTGTTGGTGTGTGTTGATGTGTGTTGATGTGTTGGTGTGTGTTGGTGTGTGTTGATGTGTGTTGATGTGTGTTGATGTGTGTCGATGTGTGTTGGTGTGTGTCGATGTGTGTGTTGGTGTGTGATGTGTGTGGTGTGTGTTGATGTGTGTTGATGTGTGTTGATGTGTGGTGTGTGTTGATGTGTGTTGGTGTGTGTCGATGTGTTGGTGTGTGTTGATGTGTGTTGATGTGTTGATGTGTGTTGGTGTGTGTGATGTGTTGATGTGTGTTGATGTGTGTTGATGTGTGTTGATGTGTGTCGATGTGTGTTGTGTGTGT